CTTGCCTGCCTGACACTGGGGAAAGGAAAACAATGCCTGGTTCAGGCAATGTTTCAAGAGGGGGGGAACACACAGATATTGGGAGAATGGGACGCCACAGAGTGGCTGCTCAGTTCAGCCATTTATTCCTCCCGGGAGGCAGCCTGCACTCCAGCCACAGTGATCCTTTGGTCAATGCATGTGAGAGTTGCGTCACATCAACATTTGCTACCTGCCCAAGAGCCCTGTGCACATCCTTGTGAGATGCAATGAACCCAACTGCCCTGAAGGAACCCAAGGTTCCCTTTGCCACTCTATGCAAAGAACAGCCACAATATATTCCCTCTACTTAAAACTGCCATGTTATCTATAGATATAAACTCTCTGGTTTAATCAGTGCCTGCATCATTAACATGTCCGCAGACTAAATGCTCAGGAGACCCTCCCCAAGTACAGCATGACCGTAGTAGTTAAATAGTGCACAACAACGAGGTAGGAGATGTGAGAAATCACGTCTGCTTGCACCTTTTGCTCTAACACAGGCCGAGAGTTTGCAATTACTTTGTGTGCTAAGACCCTGCCTGTTAGCAATGGACGTGGCCCAAACGGCTGGTCGCCATGGCTTGTTCGTGCAGCAGCTTCCACCCACCACAGTGCAGTGCCCTCAATGCTGCAACAATTGATCAGTAATAACTCATCTGAGAGAGTCATCGAGTTAATTCAGCTGGAGAGGTTTTCTTCGTTCGAAGTCTTCCTTCCAAGATGAACTAGACCTGACCTCACTGTGCTTTACAGCTGATGAGATCATCCCAGGTCTCTATTTGCTTCAGCCAGAGACAAGTGACCTTTCGCAATCACGTCAAATACATAATCAGCAATCTAAATAATTGCTTTATTTGGGCATCTTTGTTTTGGCTTTCCAAAATATGGCATTTATATCATCAAAAAATGACATTTATATGCCTGTGTAAGACTTTCCATTTTGGCCTGAGGTCAGTAGATCTTTTCAAATGCTCCTACTTGAAAAATCAATACAAATAATTAAGGTACTTTACTTGGCATACCAGGAATCCTGGCTTCTCCGGGCCTCTGTTCCACATGTACCCCCAGGGTTTATATGGGGATTTAGTTTCTTTATATTTTGTGGACATGTCTTACGTTTTTCACTGGCCAAAATGATAGACTCTTTAAAGCAAAAATCCTTTCTCCCAAAAGTCAGGCTGTTATATTTATTAAATAAGGGAGGTGGTAAAATAAGGATTAACCAAAGAATGCTAAGCATTCTTCTACTAAAAATGGTGGAGTGCTAGCTAGCTTTTAACTTACTTTAACTATTAGTAGTAACAATACTGATTAGGCTGTACACTCAGGGGAGACAGAGGTTCCCGTCATGAAACTGAAATCAGTCTTAGAAGTGATCAGTGCATTGCTCTGAATTCACGGTATAAACCCAGAGTGTAATTTGGGCCCAGACTAAGGCCAGCATATTTACATGTGGACATGTAGTCCCCCTTGAAAAAGACAGCAACTGGTTTCTGCAACTTTGCCTAGAAGTAAGGCTTAGTTACTCTTTCCTCAGGCCAGAACCACAAACTCTTTTCACAGTAAGTGTTTCAGGTGGGGCTCACAGTACTTCGGAGGAGCAGCTTTAAAAAAAGAATTTTGGAAATTGTAATTGAGAGACTACCCCCTTCCTGACGAGTATATTCTGGATCCTAAGCAAACAGGAGAAATCTCAAAGCTCCACCGCTCTCCACAGGAACTCTCCTGACCTCCTGCAGTCCGGGGAGAAATGGCCCCAGTGGTCAGCGTGACCGTCCGGCGAGAATGACACAGCAGGCAGTAAGGTGTGACTTCCTCCACCCCTTCCTCCTCTTCCTCTCTTTCTTCTCCTTCCTTCAGTTGCCGGAACCACAGCAATAAACAGACTTTGAAATTGTCTGCCTAAGCAGTAGACGCTCTGATTTCTAAGCGATGGTGAGGCCAAAGCATAAAACCTTAAATTATTCATGACTTCACCTCATTGCTGTCACAAAGGAATATTACTTTTCCATGATCTGTGTTTGCGATGCAGAAAATTTCCTCACCAAGAAAATATTAAACCCATCCTTTGGGAGTAATAGGAAATAATGCGCCAGTAAATAGGTGTCACATTTTAAACAAGCTGTACAAACACGAGTGGCGTCCTGCTTTTTCTTCTCTTACAAAATTAGATCTTCTTGTGTGACTGCCTAGAAATGCTGGGAGGAATCAAAGGGTACTGATTGAAAGCTCTTTACATTTATTCTTTCATTTGGGATAAACTACAAGCAAACTTGCAGTAACACCAGCTCTGACTTGAATTCACTCCAGCCAGGCTTGCGCTCCCCGGCCCAACGATATAATTTTCCCTTTTGCAGGTTGCTCGTTCTTAGCCAGTCACCCATGCTGTGCCTCTGCTCGAGGGCCAAATGTCAGCTTGTACTGGGGGTGTTAATAACAACTATTTCAACTTTTAAGAACACGTTAAATAAATTTCTTAAGCAAGTCTCAAACAAAAAGTAACTGCAGAGCATTCTGTCCCCTGCCAGGAGACCTCAGTCCTAATGGATCCCCTCCCGCTGCGATTTTGTTTTAAACAAGCCTCTGCCATAAAGGCTGAGCCCCCTCAATTTCCTTTCTGTGCCACATTCTCCTTGGTGGGGGGTTTAAACTGAATGTTAGGGTGGGAGAAATTGTGGTCCGTATTTAAGTTGATCTGCACACTTTCTGTTAAGCTGTTCTGTATCATTTCTAGTTCCCAAGATACTACACGATCTTGCAGACCTGAGGATCTTTTTTTTTTTTTTCCTGCTGCCCTGACGCTCTTTTTCTTTAGTCAAATTCTGCTGCTGTTTTTTCCAGTAACCTGCTGACAGTGAAATCTGGTTTGCAATGGAGACAGCTCCAAACCAGAATGCAGAACTGAATGTATCTGTTCACTGCGGCTCCAGGGAAAGGCAGGCTCTAGTCCTGAACTTTCTGATTTTGACCCTTGCTGAGCTAAGAGTTGCCACTTAACAAACACGGTGCTTGCCGAACATTTCCCCCTCTGGCTGCTGCATCAATAGGGACATAGATCAAGGAATAGTATTTGTTATTTAATTCCTTTGCAAGGGCAGCACAACACATTTCTGGGGCATGCGAAGCCATTAAAATAGAACAAAGACTGAAGTCTTTAATTCTGGTTTTCCTTAGCACAGTGCAGTTCCATTCACTTCTTTCAGATATGTATGGGTTTAACAAGAATTAATTGAGCCTGTGGTGTTCCTGCTCTGCAGTGGAAAACAGCAGCACGTCTGGCCTACCAGGTCACGATGGTCTTGTAAGGCTGGACTCTATCCCATGAAAATCCCCCACTTCTTTTAAGGAAGGAGCCCACAGGACAATGTTGGAGCCTTTTCTCTTCCAACCTAGTTACGTGGCCTCAGCCATCATCTGCTTTTGGTAACAGGGCAAATATGCCACAAATCCTTTCCTAACCTCAAGCCTTCAGCTGAGGAAGGGTGGAGAATTACTGGGCATTATGAAAAGTTTTATTCAATTTAGCATGAAGTGGTGGACAACAGTTTTGTTTTGCTTGTTTGCAGGGCGTAGGCCTTTTTCTAGACCGTGCTTTATTTATTTCTCTTCCCATTGTGTTTTAAGTACTGTGCAAGCAGCAAGAACAATTGGGTGGGGGCTGATTATTATAATTATTTCCACTATTAGTAATTAAAACAAATACATCAGAAAGACAATTCATGTTATTTTTCAGCATGTGCTATCTCTTTCAACCCTGCCAGCTGTCACCACAGCAATTTCCATGCCAACATCTCAGTTAAAGTACCAGCATTTCCAGCAAAAAGGATTTCGCTGGGATTTTAGTCTTACCCCACTGCAAGGAAATCAGAGAAGCCTGCAACGTTATCTATGCATAAAAATGGCTTAGGTGAGATTGTTGTTGTTGTTGCTGTGTCACATTATTTATTAATACCTTTTTTTCACAGGTTCATCCCTTGTTTTCTACATTTTGTTTAGCTTCCCCTCTTTTCCTCCCGAATCAGACAAAAAAATTATTACGGCAAAAGGATACTTGCTTTCTCAAATATACTGAAATTGAAGCCAAAATAAAATTTAAGTAGCAGGATCATGTAGAGAGATTCTTTGGTCCAGAACTAAAACGATTGTCTCCTTCCAGACCTAAGTAAGAGTCTTTCTGACAGCAAAGCTCAGCAGAATGTCTGCCCCAGTTAACTCACACCCTTCCTGCATAGGCAACCAGCTCACTGGGTATTTTCAAATGAATAAATAAAGGCACTTTCTGTGCAGTGACAGACAACAGGCAAAGGCAGGTAGGACAGGGGACAGTGGGAGTCAACCTTAAAAACAGAAAGGAAAGGACATCTTACGTGGAGAAGGCATTGTTCTGTTTCTCACATCGGATCCCCTTGCAGTTGTTGGGTTCCTCCGAGGCACTGGTCTCATAATAAAAATAAAGCTGGTTCAGTCCATTGGCAAAAGCCAGAAGCACCAGACAGTAGATAAAAAGGAATTTAAGGATGTCTAGCAGCATGCGTCCCAGAGAAATCTGCAAGGGTCCCAGGTGTGAATTTGCTGTAAACAGGGATATGAGACGCAAGGAACTTAAAATGTTGGATATTGCAAAGAGGGCTTCTGCAATGAGAGTCGGGTGCCACATTTCCCATTCCTCCCTTGGACGAGAACCGTTATACTGAAAGAAAAAACGAGGGCATAAAATTGAATTACGTTGTAATTACTCCGATAACTCCAAAAGTCACATCTGCTAATACTAATGCTTCACGTGTAATTACTAACCAGGTACTGGGGACCCAAGAAGTACTTTTAAACTCTTAAGTCTCAGCTTCTGTCAGACTAACATTCGGGGTTTGGGATTGAAGCTGATGTGATCAGGGCAGAGGCTTAGGTGTAATGATGCCTTCTTATGTGCTCTCCCTACTAGATTATGACCCCTGATATGGATAGTTGTGGGACCAGCTTTTCTTTAGAGGATTCTGGTATGTTGCCTGCTCTTAGCCTAAATTTAGAAAACAGGCCTTTTGAATTCTGAGTTCACGGTTTGCGGGTTCTTCAGGCCCATGGGTTCATACACAATCTCCTTCTCTTTCAACATTTTAAGGGTTCAGGACAGAAATTTTCAATTACCTTTTTTTCTTTTTCCTCCTAAATATGACTGTACATTCAAAACACTGCACAGTCTGGGAAGAATGCGAGGGAGGGAGAAGGGAGGGAGGAAGGAAAGCAGTGAACTATCCAGCATAAGAAGTGGATGCTTTCCTTCCCTCGTCATCTAAAAAAAAGTGCCAACAGCCCAGAACCAAAATGCTTTCTTCATATTAATTTTCTTATTAATTTGTCATGGCAATTTTAGGAGAGTTGCTAAAGCAGAGGTCATAATTACAGCTGAAACACTGGATACATTTGAATGCATCAATTATAATATTAACTTGGTTAGTAATGTAACTGTAAAAGCAGAAGCATTTTCTGAGCAAAGCGCAGCCAGATGCAAATAGGTAACACAGAAGAACAGGTTGTATAAATGTAACTACTCTGGCTTAACTACGCTGGCGCCAACAGAATGGAGTCAAAGACATTTTAACATCAAGGAATAATTGTCCTTTTAACATTTGTCTCTGCTCATTTAACATGTATAAAAAGGCAAAAATGTACTTAGAATAATATAGCTAATAGTGTAGCCAGCGTGTTTAGGACTCCAAAAATAATTTTTGTACCTTTTAAAAGGAAGCAGTATCAGTATCGTACTGACAGATGAGTTTGCAGGGACCTTCTGTTTAAATCTGAAGGTCCAATATATGAGCTGACAATTTTTTCAAGGACACAGCTAAAAGCAAGTTGGTATTTCAAACTATTCCTCTGTACGGAGGAGCTGAGACGTGATACAAAGGCATTTCAGCATGACCTCTGATTGCTTCTGACATTTCCAAACTGTTCTTTATTACATGGCCTGAGTCTGTTAACTTGATTTGAAGATGGGTCTTAAAATGTTTACAAACAGGCAGACATGTTAGCTTTTGGCCAGCATCCAGCGGTGGGGGCGGATGGCCGTGATGGGAAAGCCTCCCCTGCCTAGAGAGCAGATTTGCACAGTTGTTCGCAATTCTCTTCCGCTTGCTGGCTGGACACAGCAGCCTAGGGGCTCTCTGCTAGGGTTTAGCATAGACTGCAGGTAAAGGTATGTGAAAAGGTCTTCTTCATCTCATCTCTATTTTTAAAGCAACTTGTTAGGGTCATATTTTGGCCCTTTATAAACTGATGGTATATCCTTGCTTGGGAAACAGTAGTGTCTGCAGAGCAGCCTAGCATCATAGGTAATAGAGAAACAGAAGATTTCAGAGGTATCTGATGAAGCTGGGTATCTGGGAAGGCTGGAGTTGTTTGGGTTAGGCTTCAGAAGACGAAGACGAAACACAGCAGGGATGTATACAGAACAGTGCAAATAAGTTATGCCAGGCAGTCACATTTACCCTTCCTCATGACATGATAATTCAATGCAGCAAATGAAAACCGATTAAGAAAGTATTTTTACCCTGAAGATTTCATTGATATTGGACAATATTAAGGCCAGGTCTTGGAACCAGTCAAATCAAGAAAAAAAAGTCTCCACGTAAAAACAAGGATGGAAAACATTAGTGTCAGTATGCAATTTATTTTTCTGATATTTGGCAGAAAGCTAAATGTCCATGTAATGCTTTGAAGTTCTAAGAAGTGTTAGAATATCGCATATTGGCATATATACCAGCCTTTTTCAGCTCGGGGCTGTTCTATAAATAACAAAAACCTTTACAAGTCGTGTTGCAAAAGGTTTTGAAGCCATTACCAACGCTATATATTCTCATGTTTCAGAGCGTACTGCAACCTCTTAAGTGACACAGGTCAGAAGGGAACTTCTGTGAGCACGCTGTTTCAGAACTACTCCTATATAAGATTTTATGCCCCTCCAGAATTGGCTGACATTGGTCCTTGTCAGGAGCAGCCCTTAGATCAGTCAGGTTTAATCCAATTGGGTCTGATCTGTACCCAAACAGATATATTCCTGTAAGCATTCTTTGGTGTGCTGGCATACAGGTCTTTGTAGTTAGCCTGGACGTTTCTGTAGTTCTCACAGAGGGTGTAGACAAAGCTGTACTTCCTTCGTACGTGTGGTTTGGCTATGCCTTTAAATCTCAGTATGTGACTGTCTAAATCTGTGGATGCACAGCTCTTCTAGTGGTTTGTGTGTGAGAAAGAACAAGATTGTTAACATTTTAAGATTTGTTTGTGAATCTTATGATTTCCAGCATTTTTCTGTATTGCTCACAGTTTAAAGACCAACCTTTCAAGTCTGTAATTTCCTCCCTGGTTCTGAATGTCGGGAGAAAAAAGATGTAAACTGTTCCTGCTTTGATGCTGTTACAGAGCCGCCTCTTCAGGGAGCAGAAACTATCTCAAAGCTTTTTTCCTTTGAAAAACTAACTCACCACTATGCAGCCTTCTGGATTTTAAAAAGGCCCCATAGCAGGACTGCTTGCTAAAGAGTTTTTTATAAAAGCCTTGCCATTTTGGAGTCAATGAGCTTTGTGAATTCTTCTCTTTTCCTCTCTGCCTGCATACGTGCTTGGGTCAGACTAAACAAGGTTGCTCCGGGGAAGTGCTTGTCCTGGTTATTAGGAGCTGGGCTGAAGGGAGTAGTACCCTTCTACCAGGGCAAAACCAACACAGCAGCACAGCAAAACTAGAGACCGCGTAAGTGGCCAAGGAACAGACTCCGGTTACTTGATTTACACCTGTGTAATTACACTAACTGTGGTGGCGTTATTGCTGATTCATTCCAAGAAAAGAATCAGGCCAAGCACACAGCTCCAACTGAAGTCAGAGAGAGCCATTGCATAAGGAAGTTTGTAGGAAGCCATTTGTGTCTTGTCTGTGTCTTTGAAAAAGAGAGACAGAAGGGAAGTGCTTCAGGCCATCCTCTGGCTTCAAAACACGTGCAGACACTAACTTGGAGCATCAGAAGTTTATAAATGTGGAAGGTGCTTTTGAGGATGTGCATTCTCGCCATAAATGGAACATGACAGTGAAGAATCTACACAGTGTTAAAGCTCCAGCATGCTCCTCTACCATTTCCTTGCCTATAGTTTAAAACTATATATTGAAGAGAATAATTTGACTCCTTTTTATCTGATGGAAGCCTCCTACTAGCAGGCTTGCTTTTCTCAGTAGACCTCAAAATTTCTGATTAGTAATCTACAGATCTGTAGGACTACAGATTGCAAATCTTGGCTGGAGATGTTTTCAGATCACCCTGCTCTTGTTTTTCCTTTACTGCTTTATTTAAAAATCGTGTTTTCACTGTATCTAGCACTGTTGAAAGAGGTTCAGTGTTAGTATGGAAAACAAACGTATCTTTGGCAACTGAGTAGCTACAAAATGGACAGCAAGAGGGAAACTTCTATCCAGTGCCCAAACAACCTACTTCAATCTTGATCAGAGAGTCAGGATGAAGAAGGACGATCATTCTCCAAACAAATAAATAAGCATTCCAGGTGAATTTTCAAAACTGGACTGCTTGAAAAGCAGCTATTCTCTTTGATCTGTAATTCTGATTTTGAGTTTCTACCCTATGTATTACAGTTCTCACAAGCAAGTTAACAAATTCTCTCTCCCAAGTTACTGTACCTTGACGTAGGCAACAATTTTAAGGGAGATAGTTGCAAGATAGAGGGAGTTCATTGCAAAATCCATCAGATTCCACCAGTCATGTACGTACTCATTGAATCCACCATCCCACATTTCCTTGATTTCTCCCCAGATAAAACCTGTAGAAAGAAAGCGAGTTCATTGTCATGACGAGGTATTATTTGCCATTAAAGCGCTGTGCATATCTGATGTAATAAAAGACAATCCTAAATTAACAGCTTGGAAAAAATGTCTCATCCCTTCTGTCTTCTACAAAGTATAATGCTGCTGATTATGAGACATTTTACAACTCTGTGGGGAACGTCGCCTAGAGAGATAGGAAAAAGCCCTGTTTCTGATCCAGGGCTCCAGATATACACCCAAGGAGACTGCTTGAAACATATGTTAATTATAACTAGTATGACTGGATTGGCTCAGATGAAATTTGTTCTACATGAAGAAACTATTTAAGCAACTGTATTTGGGATCGTTTCTAATGTCCGCGCTCATAGAAACTAGAAGTAATTCATTGCTCAGTTGGACAGTACTGATTTTTCCTGACTTTCTCTGCAGAACATGCAATGCTAGTACCAGCTTCTGCGTGCCAGTACATTTCCTCCCTGACCTGGAAATATCACACCAAAGAAGGAAGAAGTGAATTCATTCTCTATGCTCAGTCACTGCATTTATGCATCTCGCTGCACAAAAAGCCCGTAGGGACTATTTGTGAAAAAAGGTAGGACTCAGCATGAAAAAGGGCACTGCAGCCTGGCATCGCACCTCTCAGCAATGACTCACCTAATGTCAAATATGGCTATGGGTTTTGCAAGGTGAATATTTATTCCTGAGGATACGGCCCGAGCCCATCATCTCAACTCTGAAATGCCTTCTGGTAATAATTTTTGGCACTTGCTAACCTTCACTATACCTCCTTGGAGCTGGAGGAGCGAGGGGCAGCTTCTGAAGTTCATTACCAGACTGCTAAACTCACCTGGCAAACTATTCTGATTTTAACATATATGTCCTTTATGGTAGAACTGTTTAAGTATTTCGGAGAGCCTAAGTCCCATTAAAAAGCAAATGGCAGCTAGGCTCCCTCATCACCTGCATCCTTCTGAGAATGTCTTTACAGCCCCCAGGTTTTTTGAATTACCCAGTTTACAACATTATCCTTGAACGAAGACCTGAAACATGTGTGAAAAGAAAAAACAAACCAAAAAAATACACCTCCAGGTGTACTACCAATATAGTTACCCAAACTGCTTCCCATACCTAACCATAGGATACTGCAGTGGTCACTGAAATGTTCCTTGCAACTCAAGTTTTAGGACCTGAAATTTCACTCTGAAGAGCAGATAATGTTGAAATGAACTGCTGCAAACATCCAAATATCAACCGTAAGCTCTTCAGCTGCCAGCCAGCAGGTCAATGGTCAGGCAAGCATAATGTCAAGGCCAATAAGGTAATTTTATTACAGCTGCCTCCAAATCTTTGCATGCACACAAAACCATAAAATCAAATAAATCAATGGAGAGAAGCCTGTTGAAGAACTCATACATTGTATTTATAGTGAGTTATCATTGCTGGTTACTATAGTTACAGCAATGCCGTGTGTGTGCCTGCTCTCTCTCTCCTTTTATAGTGGAAGATATTTCTTAAATAATAACCTTTAATCTGGTGAAACTGTTCTAATTTCTCCATTTAATAAACAGTCCCACAATATCCCTATTTATCCGAAACAAAGGAACTCAAAAAGAAGAGCAGACAGCTGTAAGAGGTGATTTTGAAAGGGTTTTTTTAATGGATTATCCTTCTTTCATCTGCAAATCAATTTTGCTGAAATGCCTACAATTTTCCCTCAATTTTAACCATGAAGTTAAGGATAAAGTAAAGAGATCACCTAAGCTCAGAAAAAATATTTAACCTTCTCAGCTTATTCTGAAGTTTCTACCAACACATGCATTTCAGCGCCATAAATTAGTTCCACAAGATAACGAGGCTTGAGTTACCATTTGTAAGTTGTGGCAGAGCTATGCAAGGAGCAAAGTGCCCTGGGTCACGATGGAATGTGATTTGTGAACATGTTTGTAAATCTTACTTTCTTTCCTTGATTTTCCATCAGCAATTTTAGGTTTGGCATGGGGAACAGCTAAGTTCGTTCAGCACAGAACCAGCCTGATCCAGAACCACCACAGAGACCAGGAGCTGGGGCCCAGTGGGACCAGGAGAGGAGCCAGCAGGCACAGGAAAGCAGAAGTGGACCCATGAGAAGCACTGAGGAGCTGTAAGGAGAGCTCCAGAGATTGAGGTTTGTGAGAGGTGTCCTCAAAAAGCCTCCGTGTTGCTTTCCAGGCCACTGAATCCTATGAGAGTCAGAATTCACTGTTATCTGACCTCTAGGGTTTTGCACCGAAATGAGCTGGGCTGTATGGTCAGAGGCTGGAGAAGAGCTAGAAAGGTGTGGAAACCATTGCCCATGAGCAGGCAGGCCTTCTAGTAACAAACCAGCTCATGGTGGTGCTACATGTTAATGGCACAGCAAGGGAGATGAGAGCTTAATTAGAGGAGAGATCATGTTTCTAATGGGATTCCACAGGTTTTCACTTGCTGTTGTGTTGGAGATCAGTTTGAAAGAGTAAATACTTCTCTCTCATCAAAAATAGATCCAACTGTGCTTCTCTGCTCTTCTCCCTCAGTGGCTCTACCTGCTTCCTCCCATCCCACCTCACTACCTCCCTCGCACATCTCAGGAACATAGATGCATCCTTTTCTTCACAGTTGTGGTTGCCCAAGCCAGACCGGAATAAGAGCCTCACGTTTAACCTTCTGGTAATAAATACTCCCTCCTTCTCCTGCTTGTATTAGAGCTCTCGATATTGATTTGGTCAGCACAGAGGCATAAGGCAGAGTGAGATTTATCCTCCCTTCTCTGCCTTCCTGTAGGCTATTTGGGAGTCTGGGAGCCCATGAGTAAACAGGCCTGGTACCTGCACACTGGGTCTGGGAGCAGATCAGTAAGAAGGCGAAAGAAGAGGCAGGCTCTCGGCGCTGCCTCCTCTGCAGACCAGCCAGCAGAACGGAGGAGTCTGGGAGCCCATGAGTAAACAGGCCTGGTACCTGCACACTGGGTCTGGGAGCAGATCAGTAAGAAGGCGAAAGAAGAGGCAGGCTCTCGGCGCTGCCCCCTCTGTATACCAGCCAGCAGAACGGAGGCAGCACAAGAGGTGACACTATCTGTTACTAGCATGACCCAGAAGCTAATTCCTAACCCGTTCCTCACACAGAGCATGGGGGAATCAGGGAGAGAGCTGTGTCTGCTGCAGTTTACTCAGGGTCATGTCTAAAGGCATGTCAGATGGCAATATGAACAGCAGAAAAGCCCTAGGCCAACAGGATCTGTTGTTCCAGAAGGAGCCCAGCTGTTTTATGCAGTTACTGAAGCTGGCTGCCAAATCTCTTTACATGCTGATGATGCTGAGATCAGGAATGAGTCCTCACACAGTTGCCATGGGTGCGAGTCAGGCGGCTGTGGCTCAGGCATTTTTGCGTTTCTGATTTACCTAGAACCCAGGGCAGGATCATCCACTCCACGATGGTGGGAGGTGGTCCCTGCATGTGAAGGTCAGTCCTGACGATGTGCTGTGATGCCAGCAGGAGCATGAAGAGGAAGGTTAGGTAAGAGCCGGTGTGGCAGATAAACTTTATAAATGGCTTTTTAATGAACAGTCCCAGCCTGCTCTTCGGTGCAATCAGATATGCCACGGATAGCACAGGAAATAGCAGTCCAATGGTGACACAGGTCAAGAGTTTTACTGCCCAGTGTTTCCGCCTCCATCCTGGAAAACCATCATACCAAAGTGTTGCTAGTAGCTGCTGGCAGTTTGGCTGAGCAACAAACTGAGGAGGAAAAAAAAAGAAAGGTTATTACTGACTGGTACTTCATGTGCACCCCGCCTCACGTATGTGTTAGAGCCCACACAGACCCTTGTATTAAGTTTGGGGCTGGCTATGGGGTAGAAAAGCATATTTTGGAGACACAGGGAAGAAAGCAGGGAGATTCCACTCTTATTTTTCTACATAAGATTTAAGAGTTCTTCTATGAGGTCTTTTCTGTTTGAAGCATCCTTATGTAGCTCAGTCACTCACCACACACGAAACCTCGTGCAAAAGTGATACAACCAAAACTACTATGAGCTTTTTCACTTCCCATGTGTTTCTGTTTCATCACGTTTCTTTTCAGAATGTTTCAGGTTTCGACCATCTCAAACAAATCACTGTCAGCATCTTTAAGAAGTGACTAAAAGATGAGACAGGAGGGGAAAGGTGTAAAGCTCTGAGTGTGTGTGTGTGAGAGAGAGAGAGGGAGAGAGAACGTCTCCAGAAGTGTGTGGGGTGCTGCACGTGGTTTCGTGCAAGGAGGCCAGCATATGTGTGTGTGGGATGGGATGGGCATGAGACAGCATGCCGTAATGTAAAGTTCAGCCAGGTGACATCTGCTGGGAAGCAGGACAGCACATTTGTAAACGTGCCTTGCTATTAAGGAAGGGAGCAGTTGTAAAATGTAAGAGATTAAGCAGAGGCAAAAAGAAACCTTTCATCACAGTACCAAAAGTGACACTTGAAGTTTACTTTCTCTCGGTAAAAAACAGCATTATGATGGTGATTTATTGCATCTCAGTGACTCCATACCAGACATGCTCCAGTTGCCACTTCTTCAGACTGTTTTAATACCTAACAGCCCTTGGAATTTCACACTCGAGCCAAAATATTTCTGGTCTATGCCAGAAGACTTTATGTTCCTGATTATACCTGGACAGCCCCATGGTTTTCAAAACTCTTCAGACCCATAGCTAATTAGAGATGTCTGCAAGACCAAGACAACTGTGTTTTTCTTTACGTATTTGATTCCTAACCCATCTTAATGAAGCTATACTTCTGATCTACTAAATTCAGATTTCTCACTCAGTCTCTGCAGGGTCAAAAGAAAATCTCAACTATTGTTCTGATGGTTGCCTGTTATTTTGCTGTAATTCTATCAGAAAAACTGTCCTAGCATAGATGTGGTCATCTATGATCAGACAGAGCTGTATCAGAAAGACTCACACTTCCAATGGACTCAACAGCACCAGCAGCATTTATCAGACCTCTTATAAAGGAGACTCAAAGCGGTGAGTAACCTGAAGATGACGGTACTGTTCATTACACTTGGCTCCTCTATACTTAAAAGGGATCTCTGGAAGGGATGTGGTGCCACCAAGCTCTTCTTCCCCCTCA